AATATTTCTTTTATGATTTTATATCATGCACTTTATGCTCATTTAAATTCTTGTTTGCTCTATACCTGTTGCTTTCCTATACAGCTACCTGCTTGCATACTTAGTACTTGCTTTGGTCCTATTTCTATTATCCTCCTCCTATTCTCTATCTTACTTGTTAAGCACCTTGGCATACCCTTGGTTTTTTAAGTGTGCTTTATAAATAAAGTTTATTATTATAATACCACACAATTTGGAATTTGCTTTATTCTGACCCCTTTTTTAGGCATTTTTAAAGTATTCATTTAAAGGTTTTGGACTCATGTAGTAAATATTTCATTTCCAGAAGGCCTACCATCATTATTTACTATTTTCATCCATAAATGTAGTAGTATCTTAGTATTGAAAAGAAGAAGGCTACCTGAAGGAACTCAGTTTTTACAACACTGATTTTAGGTGGGATCAGCTGAATGTGTTTTCTTCAATAAGATTTCAAGTGGCAGTCATGGAATCTGGCTTGTTAGTGTATACAACTCCCATCACTTTCACACCATTCACACTCTCACTCATCTTTACCCCACCTACCTCTATGGAATCCACATTTGTATGGACTAAGTAGTCACATAAACTGTAAAAAAAATAAAAAATAAAATAAAATAAATCTGTTAGTCTGAATCAACTGGTTTAATAATGGTTCAAAATTCTTGAAGCATCCAGAAAACTTTTTTCTTAGATATTATGGAACAAATAAGAAAATAATTTATGTTTTCTACCTTAAAATGGGGGACTGACATTAAGATAAAATGTCTAAGTAATGAATGGTTAATACAACACTTTCGTAAAACCCTTTAAATTAAAGCCTGTACATGAGTCGCTGGTCCACTGGTGTTCAGAGGCAAAGTTACAAAAGACTGTGCAATTGTTGAACTAATCAACCTAATTCTGACTGTATTGGTGAATATTTTTGCAATATTTTTCTCAATATGATTTTTTTTTTAACTTAGCATAATTTCAAAAGAGCAAGTGTGAACTCAGGTAAATTAGGGCACTTTGGTAAATCTCCTGAGATGCTGTGAAAAAAAACTATGTATGACATTTAACTGTTGTTATATATCCCCTCATGCCCCTGCAGGCTCCTCTACCAGAGGCCTGGGAGCTTGACGGTATTGCAGTATCTTAGCTGTTCCTAGGACTGCGCTCTTCTGGACAGAGATCTTGGATGTTGTTCCTGGGATCTGCTGGAGCCACTCGCCTAGCTTGGGAGTCACCGCACCTAGTGCTCCGATTACCACTGGGACCACTGTTACCTTCACCCTCCACATCTTCTCCAGCTCTTCTCTGAACCCTTGGTACTTCTCAAGCTTCTCAGTCCAGCTTTGTCCAGCCACTGGTAGGATTTCTGGATGTCAGCCACCTTCTCTATCTGCCGGTGGTACACACTGTGCAGGTGCCTGTCCTTCCATGATGTTTCCTCCTCTTTGTCCTCTTTCTTGGGTTTCTGCTGTCTGCACGCGGTCAGTTGGGGCCATCTTCCGGATGTATTCATGGATGTTCATTGTCTCTCCTGGACCGTGGTGCTGACACTCACTAGTCCCCGGCCTCCTTCCTTCTGGTTGGCGTACAGCCTCAGGGTGCTGGACTTGGGGTGAAACCCTCCATGCATGGTAAGGAGTTTCCTTGTCTTGATGTCAGTGGCTTCTATCTCCTCCTTTGGCCAACTTATTATCCCAGCAGAGTACCTGATCATGGGTAGGGCGTAGGTGTTGATAGACCAGATCTTGTTCTTACTGTTCAGCTGACTCCTCAGGACTTGCCTGACCTTCTGCAGGTACTTGGTGGTTGCAGCTTTCCTAGCGGCCTCTTCATGGTTTCCATTTGCCTGTGGGATCCCCAGGTACTTGTAGCTGTCCTCAGTGTCTGCAATGTTGCCTTCTGGTAGTTCGATCCCCTCAGTTCTATACCTTCCCTCTATTTGTTATCATCGGACTACACTTCTCCAGTCCGAACAACATTCTGATGTCGTTGGTGTATATCTTGGTGGTGTGTATCAGTGAATCGATGTCTCGTTCACTCTTGGCATACACCTTGATGCCATCTTTGTAGAGGAGGTGACTTGTTATTTTCTATTTTTATTAAAGTTACAGCATGTAAAATCTCACCATTAGATGTCAGTAGATTGCACTTTTCTTATCCTTCCTAATTCATGTCATAAACCGAGCTACGGTAGCTCTGCTCACTCTGCTAATTCTGACTGTTGTTCAATCTTGGTTTAATCTTTTTTTTTGCTTTTTGGACAAGCAAACTTACCGAAACGTCTTCAATCATATTGACTTTGGTGGACAGAAAAAAACCTCTGTAGACTGTTTGAGATAACTTTTCACAATGTTGGACTTTAGTATTGAATTTTCAAAAGGGAATTTTTTTGCTTCTAGTTGTATTCAGAAACTGAAAATATTATTGCAACACTGAGAAGACAAATCATTAATGATGTTTTGTCAGATACAACTGTGGGTGTCTTAGTTCTCTTTCTGTTGCAGAACTTCAAAAGGCTAATCATATTATTGTTCTGTAGTATGTCAGGGTTGTTCCAAATGGGTGTAAATTTTCATGGATTAATGAAGACTCTCTCATTTTTAGATACTCCAATCGTGCTGTCAGAGAGGAGCTGAGGTTGATGCTTTTTAAGCTTATATGTCATTTAATGTTTGAGCTAATGAATTTAATGTTTGAGCTAATGAATGGTAGGTCTAAAATCTCTATATTATTGCATAGTGCCTGTTATGTCTCTCCAGTCTCTCTCTAAGACGGTATCTTTTAATCATAG